ACCATCAACAAGGCAGAAAAAGGTAAGGGCTATGCAGGAGGCCAGAGGAGCATCCTGGGGAGTGCAGTACAGTGATGGGGTGAGTCCAGTGAGTAAAAACAATCCACAGGTAGTCACTGAGCTGCTAGGAACTTAAATCGACAAGTGGAGACAGTAACATCTGTCCTAAGGACACTTATAAGCTTGTATTGTATGGTGCTATACACAGGCAGGCTATTCTGGATATTATACTATCATACTAGCCAGCATCTAGGATCTGAGCACTGGGCACTTGTGAGCAGCAAACCTCGACCCCTGAGGCCTCCTTTCCCCTCAGAGAAGGCTGATAGCCCCGCATTCTTGGCCAATCAATCCAGTCAGAACACTGACATTTAATGCCCAAGTTTTGGGTGTATAAAGCACTATGCTAAGTGGTGTGGGGATAGAGAGGTATGGACTCTGCAATCCATTCCCTATAGAGCCTATCACAGAATCAGGGAGGCATGATGTCATCCCCCACACAAGATACACACACCTAAGCGTGCAGAGCGGCGAAGAGTAGACTCTTCCTGAAAGTGGGGACCAAGTGCCATGCTGGTTACACGTTTCCTTTCTGATTTTGGAAGGGGTGGCAAGACAGAGTGGCCTGAATCCTTGCACCTTGGCTTTGAGGCCTGGTCCTCAGGATTTGCTCAGTCTCTTGAGGGAGGCTGTCCGGACCTGGGCAGCTCAGGGAACCCAGCTATCCCCCTCTGCAGGGAGTTGGTTAGTGGCCGCTGAGCCATAGCAGGGAGGGGAGTTAAGGGAGCAGCAGATTTTGCAGGACTGCAGAAGGGTTCAGCATCAGGTGACATTCCAGCAGGCTCTGCTCAAGGCCTGCTTCCGGGTACATTTCCAGAGGGCTCATCCATGGGCAACTGGTTGTGGAGAGTGAGGATTTAACTTGCCTAGTCCCTGGCGCCTGGCTCCGTGCTTCTTAAAGGGACACCGTGTTATCTGAGTCCTAAAAAAACAGGTGGTTCTCGCTGCTCTAAGCAGGAAGTCCTCTGAGCCTAAGAGAAAAGGAGACTTGGCAGACACAGGGCCTGGGAACAAGGAGGGGAAAGGGCTAATTCTGCTCTCCAGCCAGTTGTGGGGCACCTGACACCTGGCACAGGGTTCCTGACCCCTACCTGTCAGGGAGCAGGACCCCAGCCTACAGCTCAGTGAGGGCCTACTCTCACTCCCCTGGGGCCCAGCTGCAAGGTGGGGGACTCTGAACACCCTAAGAACATCCCTCTTCTGCAAGGGATCCTGCAAACTGAAAGTATAATCCAGAACTCCTGCTGCACCGGCAGGCTCTGGGGAACATAACTGCCCCCTGGCATCCCTGGGTAGGCTCCTCCAGGCCCAAAGGGTTGCCAGGGCCCCTGCCCCAGGCACTGCCTCCTACGGGAGGTGGACTTCTTCAGCAGGTACTAGGGCTTCCCTGCTTCCCAGAAAGGGTGGCCTGTGAGGTGGGGCAGGGGTGCCATGTGTGCAAGGCCACTGGTGTAAGGGGGGAAGATCAGCAGTGCAGGCCACAGAACACGGGATATTCCATAAGTATCTCCTGAAAACATCTACCGTGTGCCCGGCTGTGTGCCAGATCCCAGGGACAACAAAACGAGCGAGACACGTCCCTGCTCTCGAGGAGGGCACAATCTAATTGGGGAGAAAACAATTTAGAAGGTTAATTATGAACACCAGGATAAATGGTAAACAAGGGCATAACAGGGATGGGGAAGTAGGGCAGCTGGGGGTGGTAAGGAAGGTTGCCTCACACAGGGAGAGACTTTTGGGCTAAGCTTCGAGGCAGGGCCGTTTTTAAAAAATGTTTGATCAGAGAAAGCAGGGTGAGAGGGATGGGATGTTTGAGGTTGAAGGAATGACACCAGTGAAAACCTAGGGCATGGCCCTGCCAAGGCCATCCTGATGATGTAGACAGAACTGAATGAAGGCAGGGAAGCAGCTTCTTTAGGAGTCTGGGTCAAAAACTCTTAAAGCCCCTTTAACTGAAAGGCCTGAGGCTCACAGACCACTGACAGTCACACCAGGAGAGGAGAGGAGAGGCTGACCAATGACCATCTGTAAATGCCAGGCTTGTGTGAGGCACGTGGCAGACAGGGCTTGTCTTGGAGGTGATATTGTCATCCTGTTTTATAGTAGAGGAAAGAGGGGCTCAGAGAGATTCAGTGGCCCGCCCAGACCACACAGCTGGCAGGTGACTCATCTCTGGGCCTTGTCAGGACCTCAGACTTGTCAGAAGGAGAGTTTTCAGTGAATAAAGGTAGTTTCATTCTGCTGGTAGGAGAATGAAGCCCCACATAGGAGAGTGGCAGTGGGCTGGGGTGAACACAGACCTGCTGCCCTCCCCCTCTATCCAGCAAAGCCGGGATCTCTTTGAACAGCAGGTGGGCAGCAGCCATATGGGACCACTTCTCACGGTGGTATTGTCTGGTTGAAAATGAAGTTCATAATGGGTTACAGGCCTACGGGGTTATTAAGTTAGAATGAGGGGCGTTTGGGGGCACAGATGACCCTGTGGTTGGAGTCTTGGATATAAGGACAGTTTCTCCAGAACTTGCTTGTGGCTTTGCAGGATCCCACCTCTAATCAGCGTGGTATGTGAGGGGACAAAAGCAGAGGGCAACAGAGATCCTGAGGACCCAGAGGCCCAGGTCCTCTGCCCTGAGGTACTTGCTTTGTCCTTTGAAGACAGATCCTGTTCCAGAAGTGAGATGGGGTGAACAAGGAAGAAGCAAACAGCTCTCAGAAAACTGCCCTACATTCCCAGGGCTGTCTACTGCTCAGGGCTGGGCTGCTGGGGTGCCCAGAACCCTTTCCAAACGAATCCCAGTGGGTGGCACTAGACACTCCAGCTTTTCCCCTGCCTAGGCATCAAGGCAGAGGGGAAAAACTGCCTTTTTTGAGAACCTAAGTAGGGGAAAGAGCTTCGTGAAGCTTGAAAACAAATCTGCTGGATCCACTACTCACCTTCTGTTTCTTATGGTCGGTGGGGTGTCCCAGGCTCTTCCCCCACACCTTCCCCAGCTCCTCACCGGCTGCCCACTTACCCAGGTGAGCAGCCCCTCCCGTGCACCTTTGGTACTCACAGTGATTTTGTCCGTCTCAGTTCTGACCAGCTGTTTGCCTTTCCAGCCTGAGGACCCAACTGCCCAGACTATAGAAGAATTTGCTACCCTAGGATGGGGGTCCCTGAGTTGGGGTGGGAGGTGGATTTAGGGGAAGGAGCCAGGGGCAGAGCACAGCTGTGCAGGAGCAATGCGCTGTTGCCCTCCATAAATAAATATTTATTTATTAAGTCATATACACATAGATCATGAATACATCTTTTATTAAGTCATATACACATAGATCATGAATACATTTATGCATATGTGGGGTACAATGAATTGATTTTTTTATACAATTTGGAGTGCTTACGTCAAACTAATTAATATAGCTTCCACCTTATTTACTTGATTATTGTGTTAAGACATTTATGTTTTACACTTGATAGATTTGATTTAAAAGAGACTGAACCAATTCAGTCTTTGCCACCCCAGACCGGCCAGAGAGGGCAAGGCACAGGAAGGGGTACAGGGTTCTAGAAAACCAGGCCTTCACCGCCAGCTCCAGCCTAAGCAAACATTCCCTTCCAGAGTCAGAAAACCGGTGTGCTAGGGGAGAAACCGGCCTGAGGTTTATCGCTCGGGCAACTCCGGGTGATTCATAGAGTTTAGACTCCCGGTTGTCATAGATCAAGGCTCGCAAACAAACGGCCCGGGAGGTACCCCTCCCCTTTCCCTGCTCCCCCCACCTGGCTACCCCCTAGCCCGTGACCAACTGCCTCCCCTCCCCCTCGCGGGAGCACAGGAGTGAGCAAACACGCCCTGCCACCCTCCCTTCACCGGCTGGCTCCGACCGCGGGCTGCTGGCGATCCCCCAGACACCTCGGCGTCACGAGAACTGGCACCCCGAGGCTCAGAGCCCTACCCTCCCTCCTCGTCCCCAGGGCCCTGGTCAGGCCCTGCAACCTCT